AATGGTGATTAATGGTGATTAATGGTGCTTAATGGTGCTTAATGGTGATTAATGGTGATTAATGGTGATTAATGGTGCTTAATGGTGATTAATGGTGATTAATGGTGATTAATGGTGATTAATGGTGATTAATGGTGATTAATGGTGATTAATGGTGATTAATGGTGATTAATGGTGATGGTGATGGTGATTAATGGTGATTAATGGTGATTAATGGTGATTAATGGTGATTAATGGTGATTAATGGTGATTAATGGTGATTAATGGTGATTAATGGTGATTAATGGTGATTAATGGTGATTAATGGTGATTAATGGTGATTAATGGTGATTAATGGTGATTAATGGTGATGGTGAAATGGTGATTAATGGTGATTAATGGTGATTAATGGTGATTAATGGTGATTAATGGTGATTAATGGTGATTAATGGTGATTAATGGTGATTAATGGTGATTAATGGTGATTAATGGTGATTAATGGTGATTAATGGTGATTAATGGTGATTAATGGTGATTAATGGTGATTAATGGTGATTAATGGTGATTAATGTGATTAATGGTGATTAATTAATGGTGATTAATGGTGATTAATGGTGATTAATGGTGATTAATGGTGATTAATGGTGATTAATGGTGATTAATGGTGATTAATTAATGGTGATTAATGGTGATTAATGGTGATTAATGGTGGAATGGTGATTAATGGTGATTAATGGTGATTAATGGTGATTAATGGTGATTAATGGTGATTAATGGTGATTAATGGTGATTAATGGTGATTAATTTTGAGTAATGGTGATTAATGGTGATTAATGGTGCTTAATGGTGATTAATGGCGATTAGAGGTGATTAATGGTGATTAATGGTGCTTAGTGGTGATTAATGGTGATTAATGGTGATTAATGGTGATTAATGGTGATGAATGGTGATTAATGGTGATTAATGGTGATTAATGGTGATTAATGGTGATTAATGGTGATTAATGGTGATTAATGGTGATTAATGGTGATTAATTTTGAGTAATTGTGATTAATGGTGATTAATCGTGCTTAATGGTGATTAATGGCGATTAGAGGTGATTAATGGTGATTAATGGTGATTAATGGTGATTAATTGTGATTAATGGGGATTAATGGTGATTAATGGTGATTAATGGTGATTAATTGTGATTAATGGTGATTAATGGTGATTAATGATGATTAATGGTGATTAATGGTGATTAATGGTGATTAATGGTGATTAATGGAAAAATGATTGGAAATGAACATTCAGCAGCTCGAAACTCGGAGTTCACCAGGAATCTCATGGAAGCTCCAAAGCCTGGAACAAACTTCCCGAAGCTCGCCTGGGCGAGAGGTATTTCGCCCTGGATCAATGGACGACTTTTTTTGAAGGGTAAAACCACCACCCCGCATCTGTGTACATCTGTGTATGTATATGTGTATATATATATATATATACATATATATATATATTCTTATATGATATTGGATTATACTACATACTATTTTATAATATATTGAATTATAGATGATACGATATTTCAGTGGAAACCATTGATTAAGGGATCATTTTGGGGAACCCCCCACTTCATTAGATCGCCGAATTGGATTTCCCACAACAGTTCTCCCTTCAAAAACCGGTGACAACGAGCTCGGTGATCCTACAAGGACTATCCCCGCGCCTTGAAGAAGAGGTTCTCCTGAAACTTTTGCTCAAAAAGAGTGTCCATGGAAGCAGCGTACACCACATGCACACCTTGGCCGTGGAAAAAATCCAACATCCTGTTTAGGTGACCCAAAAAATGCTGATTCGCAAAGCCAAACATGAAGATTCGCGGTCAGATTGGCTAGGTGGCTATCACATTATCCCTTTCTATATATGCATTGTGCTAGTTTTTGATATACTATATATATATATGTGTATGAATATATATATATATATGTTTATTTACCCATATTTACCCATTTTTTTGGGTGAAATCTCCGTTTTTCTCGGTTTTTCACCGAATTTTCCAGGATTTTTTTGGGACCGCTTTGTGCCACTGGGCTCCACTGCGACAGTTGGGCGGCCGTAAATAGGGCACCACGTGTGTTTCAAAGGCCCTGCGCATCACTGCCTCGGATTGTGGCTGCGCCGAAAAAAGGGGATTGTTTCATAGAATATCAAAGAGATATGATGGGAATTTGAATATATATATATGTTGGATATATTATAACTAACAGTATGGAATATGGTTTCGTGCAAACATGGTGGATACCCGATTTTTTGCCACTGAATTGAATTTGAATTGGTCAATTCAGGTACCCTGCTTCCATACAAACCCAAATCAAACTACGTTGCTTCTCTCTACTTACACTTCCATTACTTTGTGCCTTGATAATTTTTGATAGTCTTGCTGGTAGAATCGAATCTTAATTCTTGCTGGTAAAATGTTTATTTCTGCTCGTAAAATTCCCAAGTTTGGCTGGTAAAATCCCAAGTTTAGCTTGGAAAATCCCAAGTTTGGCTGGTAACTCCACATGACTTGGGGCCGATTTTGGGGCCAAAAACTGCGGCTGTGCCCTGCCCAAAATGTCCTCGGGCCCCAACAGCATTCTGGAATTCTGAGCGCACGTGGTAGCGGTTTCAACCCCCCAGAAACATGAAACTTATTGGGAAATATGAATGAAACCACCAACAAGTCGTGGAATTCCCTGGTACAAATGTGAGTTGAAATTGGGATATTTCACACATCCAGGGTTTTCAAAACCCATTCAAATCCCCTCAGTGGAAGTAGGGATCCCACTGAGGTCAAAATGTCTTGGCTAGCAGCTCCCTTGCAGCATCGTTGACTCCATGAAAACCTACTGCTTTAGGGACCCTGGAGATGCGTTTCACACGGGTGATGGGTGCTTGGTCCTTGGTACCCTTCTGTGCACATCTTTAACATGGCTGGCTTTAAATGGATGTTTATTCCCAAAAAAATGTGGTATAACGGTATAACCATCATTGACCCCCTATTCAACTCCCATTAAACCACAAAACAAATAAAACACTTGCGGTGGTTAAACACCCATTGAATCACCTGTTCCTTGGTAATTCATAGCTAACAGGCGCTTTTTTGGTCGGTCACATATCTTTGTCAGCAATGAGTCCAGGGGTCGGCTGTGGCAAGAGGCATCATGGACTCCAAGATGTCTGGGTTTTCCCATTCCCGCTTTACTAGGTGATAAAGACACATATGACTGAGACCATGTATGAGGTGTTAAAATATGGGGGGAAGCGATTGTATATGTACATATATGTATGTATATATATATATACACATACGTACATACATATTGATGCAAATAATGTACATGTATGTGGTTGATTACATACTTTTACATATCTCTAGCTTTAGAAAGTGCAAGACTATTCGGAAATCAGCATGATCTTCGTTTTGCTTCTCTGGAGCCTGTGCCGGTCCTTCTCAACACTGTGAACCTAACTATCTGCTATTGAAGGCGCACGGCGTTCAGAGCGTTATTGCGCACGAGAAGTCCTGGCAGAAGCACTTCCGACCTAACAGTCCTTCATACCGTGACATTTTGTTATGCTTTGATTTAGCAACAAAAGGCTGGACGATTGGTCGGAAGTCAGCATAGTTCAAACCTGGGTCCAAGGAAATGAGGTTGCTGTTGTTTTTTGGTTTACACATCAAAACTGGCTGTTTTTCTTGGCCCTTGAAATTTTGACCCAGACCCATACCCAAGACTTCAAGAGGTATCTTGATCTGAGGCACCTTCATCCACGATAGCTGACAAATGGGACAGTCACGTGCAGATGCTTCGCTGGTAGCATGGCGGACATTCCGCCTGCTGCGGAGCAGGTCAGGGAAATCCTCATTGTTCCTATGGGAAAACCATCTAGAAATAGAAATCTTGATGAGGGACTTGCCACTACAGTACCAGATTGCAGATTACCTCTCAATCTTCGTGACAACGGGTCCATTCTGTCCCCATGTTTGCGAGTGACCTTCCCATGACCTGGCAAACATTGGCAAACGCTAGCTACCCCCGTGATTATGGATATACATATACAGTGATATATGTATATATATATTATATATATAATATTACGGCCAGGCACTGTGTGTTGGCCGGAAGGTTCAAATGGCGTTTAAACATGTTCACTGCAACCCTGACGCTGCGCCGCGTCTGACTTCAGGTGGCTATGAAGATAAAGTTGATGTTATTACCCCAATCAACATATTGTTCATAGGGGGTGGCAAATTTTGATCCCTCATGGAGATATAGTTGGTGTTATTACCCCAGTCAACATATTGTTCAGAGGGGGTGGCGAATTTTGACCCCTCATGAAGATAAAATTGATGTTATTACCCCAGTCAACATATTGTTCAGACGGGGTGGCGAATTTTGACCCCTCATGAATATAAAAGTTGATGTTATTACCCCAGTCAACATATTGTTCAGAGGGGGTGGCGAATTTTAATGTTATGATGATCATGATGTGATGATGTGATGATGTGATGATGTGATGATGTGATGATGTGATGATGTGGTGATGTGGTGATGTGATGGTGATGATGATCATGATGATCATGATGATCATGATGATCATGATGACATGATGAACATGATGATCATGATGATCATGATGATCATGATGATCATGATGATCATGATGATCATGACATTTGTAAGTGTGGAGCAACGTCCGGGTTGGGGCGAACATGTTTAAACATTATCCTTCAACATGCTCAAACTACTGCGCAGGGCCAGTGTTTTGAGATTTCGCAGACGACGAACCCTAAACCCTAAAACCCTAAACCATCCTAAACCCTAAAACCCCAAACCCTAAAGCCCTAAAACCTAGGCTCTGAAAACTTTGAATCCTAAACTGGAAAACACTACGTATACGCAGTATTTTCTGTAATCTATCCTATCATATATTCGAGCTTCTCAATGTTAATGTCTGGGCAACACATGACGTCTGTGGGTAATATTAGGTATATATGTATCTGTGGGTACACGTATACATGTCTATAATTTGTGTTTTTTATTGACATAGGTATGTCTGAAAATGGTGTATACCCCCAATGAAATAGCCATTTAGTAGGGATAATGATCAGCAAAACCATTGGGTGTAGGGGTACACTATTTTCAGACAAACCCACATATCTTATTGATTATTAGGAAATGATCTTCAAATGGACATTTTTTACGTTCGGCACGTTCCATCGCTGATCGCAGGGATGCATTTATACACATAAATCCTGTATGTGTATATAATCTAATATCATATCATATCATATAATATAATATAAATATGTAATATATAAGTATATAAATATATAAGTATATAAATATATAAATATATAAGTATATAAATATATGAATATAATTTGTGTAGTTACCATAATTAGATGTACACATATATATATATATATGCTTTAAGAAAAACTGGGATAAGTTCTTCCAAAGTTATCCCTCGAAAACTGCCCTTTTTTCCGTGCCTTCCGCGACTCGCGGCTCTGCTCGAGATGTTTGGCGGACATGTTTTCCTCGAGATGTCCCGTGAAATGTGAAAATATGGGACAATTGGGGGAAAAGAAGCAACAAAAATATGGGAAAATACCAACCAAAATGGGGATTGAAGCATTGAAAAATGGGGATTTCTTTTTTTGGACATTTGTCGGGATATATATATAACAAAACTGAGTGTTGTGGTAAACCCAATACAATATCATAAACCTTCGATTTTGGAAGGCCCGCACATTTCTGGTAAAATAAAATTGGGGATGGTTCATTGTTGGGTTTACCACAGTGTACTGGCTTGGACCCATTTTGATAATGGGGCGTAAACGGGGATGCAGTGGGATGTTATTTGTTTTGGGGAAAAAAACTGTTGCAGGGATTATTGGGTGATATTAGCTGCAAAATGAAGATGATTGGTGATATCAATGATAAAGTATATTAGGATTATGGGAAACATATCTTGGTGCCATTTGCCTATCGAACAAATGGGGAGCGACCCCTCTATGCTTCAACCAGCCAGTGGGCAAAACGTCGATGGAATTAGACATCGAACTGGGAACATCACCAACCCGAAAATGGTAATTTCAGGAACACCAATTCCAACCCCAAAAATGGAATTTTGGCAACATCACCAACAAAAAAAATGGGAAAAATATCGAAAAATGATCACCCACTGTCGTCACCTCTCGTCGAACTGCTCGACGCAACGTGTCGAGCTGCACTACTCCGTTGCTCCATTTCTGTCCAGATCATCTCCATTACCTGCCGTAAACAGCTGGGGGTTTCCTGCAATGGAGGTGTTCCAATAGCTGGATGGTTTATAATGGAAAATCCCAAAAAAAATGATGATTTGGGAGTACCCCCATTTTTAGGAAACCTCTAGCTTTTTATGGGATATTAAAAAAGCGTACGTAATGTACACTCCGCAAAATTTTCACATAGACCCTGAACATGGCCCATGTTTATTGGGAAGTTGTCTTCCAACACCCGGGTCTATGTTAATTTTGTGGAGGCTATATAAATAAACATTATAATTTAAGCATAATATATTAAATTGTTTTATGGTGGAATACATACAGTTTTTTATGGTATATTATGTGTACACCTTTGTATTATGCTTATGTATATGGGACATTTAACAGCAGTCAGTGGGATATTAGATGATCTTTAAATGTGATATTAACTGATAGTGACCAGGATTAACCACTGAATTGATATATGATGTCATGGATGTACGTGTGTATATATATATATACGTATATATATATATGTATATATATATATGTATATATATATATATTATACATATATATATATACATATATATATATATTATACATATATATATATACATATATACATAGTTGCATCCACAAATGGAACAGTAAGTGATATTGACCACTTAGTGGATATATCCCAGTTCAATATCCAAGTTGGCTGGGTTTCAAGACGGCTAAATGATTTCAGTACCATAGGGTATTGATGAGATAATTCTCTTGACCTTCAAGAAGATGAATAAACATAGAAATCATGGGGGTTCCCAGGTGTATGACAAGGCAGTCATTGGGGGTCGTTCGGAATTTGTATGCGAGCCCCTCAATTCGAGGGTCTGAAGGCGTCTGAAGTATCGACTCTTGATAACAGTGCCGAGCAACGGAGTAGGCGTTCCAGGTCATGGCATTGTAGGTGCTATCTTTCCTTGTGCCCCCCGAAAATCATGAAAGTAGTTGAGGATCATCATATATCTAGAACATCTCTAATACATCATATCTCAGCATATATCATATTACCATACAATATATCATATGATATATCACTAGCCCATGCGCAGTGGATGGAAAATAAAAATCGTCCAAACCAGCGACCAGTTTCTTCTTGTAGAGACTCTGTGCTAAGTCGAAAGGTCGCACATCTTCTAGACGTTGCCACCTGGCATGGCTTCGTTGCCCAAAAAGAAGGATTCGCGGAAAACCCTCTGGTAGAATCCGACTGAGGATGTTATATCTAACTAGATGGACGATACCATATATTTAATATATACAGTATATATATATATACATTTATAATTATTATATATATATATTTACATACCATCATATACTATTATAATCCAGCTATAGGGACTGATATAAAATATTAAGTCTCACCTGACTGGCCACAAGGGGGCCATCGAAATGTATCATTGACCTTGTGTGCACATTCCAAAAACAACCCGCAATGGAGGATCGTTTTCTCAAGTGTGGATGAAGACAAAACATATTCGAAATCACCAACTCGACTATATGCCAAGATTTCTTGGATATACCCACCGGTGGCCTGTTGATTATACTATTTGACACATTGCCATGGAGTACGACTTGGCAGCATATTCAAACCTTCTTCATTTTTCCGAATTAGGTGCTCTCCAGCAGTCATGGGAAAGCCAATTTCCACAGAATCAGTGAGTCAGAGGCGGAGGTGTCGTAATTAGGTGATTTCACTTATGTAATCTGATTTTTGTTTAAGATCATGTCCAGGTGTTCAATGACTTGAACAATAGCCGCACTTGGAGTACCAAGTGTTAAAAAAAACTGACAACGACTGATGCGTAGGTCCCGCCCAAGCCGAACCTCGTGTTTCCAAAAGGAGGCGTCACCTTTCCTGAGCCATCCAGATCGATGCATCCCAGCTGGAATATTGTGATTGGCAGCCCTAGCTCGAGCCACAACTGGTTTACAAACGCTAACAGTGATACATCATTCTCTTGTGGCCTTATCCAAAAAAACCCTTCTGAAGTTGGGGGGTCACCAACAAGGAGGGGCTAAATCCCGGATCATCCAAGACTCTGTATGCCAAACCATCTTTGGAATATTGTACTCGCAGCCACTGGACGTTTGCAGCAACCGTCTCATCAGGCGATGAATCTTTCCCTGGTCAGAATGGTGTGGAAGGGATCTTCAGTAGAAAAAAAGAGTTTGAAGCTGTAGGAATATCTAAACCTGAAGCATCTATATATATATACATATATCTACATGTATGTATTCACTTATTTGCAATTTTCTGAACAAATGAATCATGACGACGGCAGATTTGTCCTGGCACACGCCGCTCAAGTTTCAGAAGAATCCCACAGTCTGCGAAGAACTGAGGCCTCATGGGAATGGCACGGACATCGCCGAACGATATGGGCATCTATGTATTTCAAAAATATTTACATATATCACATATATATATATATCATATATATATATATGATATATCAAGTATATATATATATTAAAGATATATATATATATTAAAGATATCAAATATATATATATATATACATGTCATAAAGATATTATATATATATATGATATATCAAATATATATATATATAATATATATATATATATGATATGTATATATATATGTGATATATATGTATATACATGATATGTATGTATATATCCTAAAGATATAATATATATATATATATACATATCATAAAGAGCTAATATATATATATATATATGTCATATATATATAAATATATATCATATATATATACCATAAATATATCATATATATACCATAAATATATAATATATATGTTATATATATATATCATATAGATATATCATATATGTATATCATATTTATAGATCTTATATATATCCTATATATGTATATCATATGTATATATCATATATTTATATTATATTATTTCATATGAACAAATCATATATATATATATCATATATATCATATATGTATATATGTCTCATATATATATATCATATATATATATCATATATATAATATATATTTACATGTATGTATATATATATATCATATATATATATATCACATATATGTATATAATATATATATATCATATATATATATATCATATATTTATTATATATATATATCATATGTATATATATGTATTTACATATGAACATATATCATACATATATATATATACAGACGCGCAACGCCTGGGCTTTGTCCAGGCGTTGCAGCGTAGAGGGTCCCCATTCCCAATCAAATGTTGTGTCCGCTCTGCATTCCATTGGGAAAATCAACAGAGGTACTGGAGAATCATAAAATCCCACCCCCGTTAAACTTTACATTCAATTTGGAAGATCAACAAAGGCATTAGGGAATAAAAAAAAAAACACCCCCGTTAAACTTTACATTCGCTTGGGAAGATCAACAACGGTATTAGGGAATATTAAAGTCCCACCACCGTTAAACTTTACATTCATTGAAGATCTTCAATAAGGGTTTAATTCACCGACCCGCGTTGAACTTCTACATTCATTGAAGATCTCCAATACGGGATTAGTCTTCCCACCCCCGCTAAACTTCTACATTCATTGAAGATCTTCAATAAGGGTTGGATGAGGATGATGATGATGATGATGATGCTGATGATGATAATGATGATGATGATGATGATGATGCGTTGCCTGTCGTGCGTGCGGTTCCGGGCAAAGCCCAGGCATTTCATCAAGTATGTATATATATATATCATAATATACCATATGTAAACATGTGTATAAATATATATATATATCATATATAAATATTGCGTATGTATATATATATATCATATATATATATCATATATATATATATCATATATATATCATATATATATATATTACATAGATATATATATATCACATATATATCAAATATATATATATACCATAAATATATATATATCATAAATATATATGTCATAAATATAAATATATATATATATATGTGTGTATCAGTTATTAATATATCATATATATATGATATATATATATATATCATCTATATCATATAGATGTATATCATACATATATATATATATATATGCAACATATATACATATATATATATACATATGTTATATAGAATATAATGTATATCATATATATCATATATGATATACATTATATTCTATATATCATATATACCATATATATATATATCATATATATCAAATATATCATATATATCAAATATATCAAATATATCATATTTATATATATATATATATGATATATATCATATATATCATATATATAAAATATATCATATATATCATATATATCATATATATCATATATATCATATATATCATATATATCATATATATCATATATATCATATATATCATATATATCATATATATCATATATATCATATATCATATATATCATATATCATATATATCATATATATATGTCATATATATCATATATATATCATATATATATCATATATATATATATCATATATATCATATATATCATATATATATCATATATATATCATATATATATATATCATATATATCATATATATCATATATATATATCATATATATCATATATATCATATATATCATATATATCATATATATCATATACATCATATATATCATATATATATATATATCGTAGATATCATATATATCATATATATATCATATATATCATATATATCATATATATCATATATATCATATTTATCATATATATCATATATATCATATATATCATATATATCATGTATATATATATATATATCTATGTGCGTGTAATTGGGCGGACTGTTCATTGCCATGTTTGATTACAAAAAGGAAGCTGAACCATCGGATTTTGGGAAGTGTTTGACCCACATCCAGGTAGCCGAAGTTCACCAACTTTGACGTGAACTCACAGGTAGACAATTTTCTACCAGCCGTTTGCATGAGACCATTACGAAGCTCCTTTTCTACCAGCGAAGTTTCCTAAAATAGGGGTACTGTACCCCAAATCATCCAAAATTAGACCATTTTGGTATTGAAACCCATGGTTTTGGGGATCCTCCATTTTCAGAAACCTCAAAATTGCTGTGGGAAAACACAGAATATTGTTCAGTCAAATCACCAGCATTTCAGTTGATGTTTGCACCCAAAAAAAGGAAGTGTTCAACTGGATGAAAACTCAAGTTCCAAGGTTGTCTGCTTATGTACCACTACGGTTTCGAAACCTAAGTCTTCCTATCCACATATGTATGTATATGTATATATATATATAACATATATATATATATACGTATCCATATCCATATACTCCGCTCACTTAACGTTAGTTAATATCTTCGAGTCAGTGAATAAGTTAGACAGTGATATCAACTACGAAGTCAGTTAAGTCATTGAATATATCGGAAAACAAACTATTGACGAACTCTTAATATTGATTAACTATTTGTAACTATTATAATCTGTTATATAACTATTAACATCTATTAACTATGTATGAACTATTGAACAATCCCCCGCTCTTCATCTCCCAGGGGGCAACTTCATCGGCAGCGCCAGACTCTGCGGAGTCGTCGCCACAACCAGCGCCGTGCTTGGCCGCGACGTCGCCGGCATGAGGGTCGCCAGGTCGACATCCTCGAGGAACCTGTGAAAAATCCGAGAAAATCCCACTGTTTGGATGGCAAAGTCATGTAAACTCATGGAAAACTCCACATGTTTGGATGGTCCCTGGAGTTTTTTGTTGAGAAGCCCCCTGTTCTTTCCGGCAGACCATCCAATTTTCCACTTGCTGCTTCATCTTCCAATCCAACTAGTTGGCTCCCATTACCAAGGGTTACCAATGGATATGCAGCTGGATTCATATTCAATTGATGTTCCAGTATCCCATCAGTAATCCCATCGTGGCATGGACGTAGCCATGAAAATATTGCGTCATACTCAGAGACTTGGCATGCAATGATAATCAGAAGACAATCCCATGAATATTTCCTAGATATCCAACTTACGTGCTTGCATAATCTTGCCATGGCCGCACCTGCCCATCTGGGTGACGCAAAATCCCTCATGGGTCTTTTGTCGTAACTCATCTTCGAGGTCTGGGTTGTAGGTCCCTTGCCTGAACCAAGCAGAAAAATAAGGATCTGACTGATCTGACCAATAGAAATGGAGGTTTTACAACGTGGTTTTCGACCCAGAACGGGGATTGAAAGATTGGGGATCTTAGCAACAGTGGAGAGGAGATTAAACCCATCAAGGCAACTCTCAACGGGCCTGCCTCAGCGATGTAATGACGGGGATGGTACCAAGACAAGTGATCGAAGCTAAGAGAATATTGCCAATTGCAAGGTTTTGTGGAAAGAACCGTGCAGTGAGAGATCAACATGATCATCAATGATAACGTATAGACCACGCATGCGAGAATAGACTCTGCTGCTGTGTCCAAGCTTGCCAAGCTGCAATGAAAACATCCGTTGTCGCAGCCACAGAACTCCTTTGAAACTCGAAGTTCTGTGGATGATGTGACAATCGGATTGGTGCCCATTCCATTCACTTGCCAATTGCTGATTGAGATCATCATTTGATGCTACAGTGCTACAGCAATTGATCATGAGATTCTCATCATTTCACCTTCCAATGTTACCGGCATCTTCAGGCCCAGGAAATGGCTGGTTTAATGCTATGTATACCATCCCCAATTGGAGGTTTTTGACATGGGTGGAAAACCACAAAAAATCACACGAACCGTCAATAGTTTCCAGGTTGTATATATATATATATTGATTGATTGTATGTGTACATACCCATGTACCTCTGTATCTACATACATACATACATATATATATATATATACAACCGATGCAAAGGGGAAGACTGGCCAAATATTGAGGTCTTCCAAACCACAATTTTCAGCCCTTGTGATGATTGACAATGGCTGCAACAGAACGAGGTTCTTCGAAACCGGAAACCATGGATTCTCCCATAAAAGCCATTGACTTGACCCATCACTGACCGTCACCTGCACCACCAGCGAAGCCCACCAGCAAGGCTGGCCCTGCTGCCAGGCCCGACACTGCGGCGGAGGCCACGGACATGGCCGCGCAGTAGCCTACCTTGGGATGTGAATCACTGAGTTTTTGCTGAGTGAATCATTTAATATGAGCAATATCAAACATCGATTCTATAAATATATAAATTTATACGTGCATGTGTGTGTGTATACATATATATATATATATAAAATGTATATGTGTGTGTGTGTGTCCTGACTAAACCATAATTTAGTTTCCTACCTTGATGTCATTAGTGCTGAATTTTGTGCTTTTTGGGTGAGGAAATCTAGGGGAAAACCATGGATTTGCCAGCCAAATAATTTTCATATGTGGGATACTGCAAATTTTGCCTGAAAAGCAAATGCTGGCGGGAAAGAACCGGAGATATCTGGATACTGTTGTCAGGAGGATGACCCGCAAAAAGGGATAGTTCGCTCGTAAAATGGCACTCCCTCTCAACTCAATAGCCGAGGGAATTGTTAATCTATATATATATATAGTTGACATTCTCAGTCTCTCAATCCCAAAGGAGGTACTCATTGCGACATGAGCCACAATTCCAGAGCAAGGGAACAATGCCAAATACTCTCCAAAAAAGTTGTTATTTTTGGCCATCCTATTCTCCGACGGTTCACCACTTGGAAACCCTATCTGATTTGTGTCAACTTTCCCAAAACCGGCCATTCCTCTTGACCAAAATGCAGTCTTCTTGTCAAAGTCCGTCACCATGGCAAGTGACTGCGGTGTCTCAGGCTACCGAGATACAGCTGAAACAGCTGCGAATAGTCCCGCATTTCATGGTCGATTTTGGTGCAACCTCTGGGGAATCTCCAACTCCTAACTCTTTGCAGTAAAAACATCTAAATTCGTACGTAAGATTATGAAGTACTCCTTTTGAACCAATTCCATGGGCATTTTTCTTCAAAACCAGGCTTCGGTCACGGCACAAATTCCTGGGCGTTCGGACGTACTTTCCAAATTCTCTTCACTGACAAGATGTCATGGTCCTCGTCGGGAAGTTGTGCCAATCTGCGAACTGGAAAATCACCATGAAAATCATCGGTAAATCATTGAACTATATGGGCCATGGATGTCATAGCTATGTCAAAAATTACCAGAGTGCAGAGCAATTGAATTAGGATCTTGAAATATCAAATTATATATAATGTGTATATATATATACCAATCTAGGGATTAACCCACTGGTAAACAAAGCTCATGAACATATGGGGTAATAACAACAGTTGATGAGCGGATTTGAACCAAGTCACGTGTGGCATGGAAAATGATCTGAAAGCTTGAAGGAAATGCTGGATTTCGAAGGAACAAAAGCTCACCAAAATGGTAATACGCTTGAAATGTCTATGTTCAATCTATTTCAAGATCATACTATACAAACATATGTATGTATATACATATAACGTGTACATATATATATATATACATGTATGTAGTTTTACAAACCCCAATTCCTGAGAGATGTTTGATGCAAACTCCCAATGTATGTAGCAAGGTCCTCAAGCCACCTTCGACTCGTCTCCTTAGTTTGCGCTGGAAGAGCTTGTCGAGCCACACCGGCGTCCATCTCTAGTGTCAACATGTTGTCAATCTTGAGCTTGTCAAGCACAACTAATCAGCAATTCCAGGGTAGACCCAAAAAAAATGATATGGTTTGATGTCAACTTGTTATTATAAAGGGGAACACACCGATTTCAACAGTTCAGGGGTGTATTAAGTCATGACATCGTAGCTGGAATGTTCAAATCATCTTGCCTTTTTTTTGCTGCTTTAGAATCCTGAAGCGCCGCCAGGCCACATGAATTCCCCTGGTTTCATCGAGCAACCAATGCTTGCCTTCCTGGCAGGGAGAGGCCGCCTTTCTGCACCTTTCCACCATACTCCCCACACATGGCTAAAAATGCAACGCGTTCCCCCAGTGACAATGAAATTCCATTAAAAGCTGCATGAAATCCATATGTATTGCTATTTCCGAGAAGAAAATACTCTTCCAAACTCCAAACTGACAAAAACATGGTAGGTCCTATCAATTCTTCAGTGACGCACATCCCATTCTATCGCATCAAGTTGCGGAAATAAACATTACAGTAGGTTGGTTTGAGAATCCACTCAAAAAGAACACATCAAAACATCCCATGCGAATCTGTTTGGAAACTACGACTCTTCAGGGTGCGAGTCCTATTTTCCCCCAGCTACATCCATTGCTCCATTGACTATCCCACCTTCCTCTCCTCTATGTACCATCCCCCAGATCTCCAAAATCGGATCTATTGCTGTCTATTGCTGTCTAGTATACTCCCAGGATTGATCTGTCCAGACTATACATAGACCTATGCACAAACCCGGTATTTGTAGCAAGATGATTTTAAGGTATGGTTCCCGAAAATCCATTCACCATCATTTACGTCAAGACAGAATTGCAGTGAGGTCGTTGAATAATGTGATATTCAATGCAAACTGAATCCCAGATTGGTTACAATCAGCTACACTACCGGGTTGCAGCTCATATGGCTATGAGTCAAAACCCTGGCCCAATAGCTATGGTGATAAAATCCCCGTCAATATCTCCATAATGGCCATGATCACCATAATTAAAAAAAATAACTATAATAACATACAATAACAATAATAATAACAATCACAGTTCGTAATATATAATAATAATAATAATAATAATTAATAATAATAATAATAATTAATAGTAATAATAATAATTAACAATAATAATAATCATCATCATCATCATCCTAATGTTTGTTTAAAGATAAACCATACCTGGTGCTTCGTATTTGTTCAAAAACTCTTCGTCTTTTTCACCTTCTCATCGCAGTTGGCCAAATCCTCCAAGAAGGCAACGGAGTCCATTCCGCTGTAACTGGCGAAAACTTTCACCAGCTGGAACTGGTTCCACTTTTTGTGGAGGATGACTTACTGGTGCGTTTTACGTAGGGTTGCTGGATGGGTGAATGGATGGGTTGCTGGGATGATGAAATTACTAGTGATGAAATGGATCATTCCCGAAAATTCCCTGCGTTTAGCACCAATAAGATGATTCATGGAAATAGTATGGGATAGTTTTTTTCCTGGTATATAATACGATTGATAGATTAAATATATTATAATGGTGTGATTCGATATTTGATGATTAATAATCATAGCAATAATGATAATAGTAATGTCCAATACAATATAATTATGATATCTTAAAGTCAGGATATGAATGCGACTGTTCGCATATTGAGATTAAATAGTATTAGGATATTCAATAAATGTATTATTCCTGATGATTAATCCAATCCCACTAATAGTTTTAATGATATTAGGACTAGTCAATTGTTAAGAACATTGATTAGATGAACTAAACATCTAATATTGTTCCAATCCCACTAATATTAAATGTTAGGATATGCGTAGGTTGTAACACCAATGTGTAATCCAATAACTAAGTGTTCATATCTGTAATATTAAATATCGAAATCCAACACCTAAGTATTGAAGGAGTATTGATAATTATGAATCTGAATATGTGTCATCGTTGATTTTTGTTCGCGCCTGCGCTTCGGCGAGGTTGCCATCTTCTGGCCGCTAAAGGTCTGCAGGAGCTGAGCAAAAAATGTCTGGAATTCAACACGACCTGCGGATTGGAATCCGCAGCAAATTCCTCTAGATTCAGGAAATTCATGGAGAAAAGAAAATGGAATAGGGATTTAAACCAACAACAAAAATGGAATGAATTGACCCTTTTTTGGGGAGAATTGCTAACCAAATCCCCAGTGTGTCATCCCCATTTGATCAAAATTTGGTCGCTGGAATAGCCTGGTGTTTCACTTTATATCAACATAGTTGGTGGTCATGGATTTCCATATCCCGATTCATATGGGAATATCATAAGTCTTGACCAATACTCAAAGGGTTTCATGCGAAAGAAGTATAAGAAAATCTGGCTGGAGAAGTGCGTTCTTCTGGCCCACTGCCAAGTCTTTATCAGGTACTGCCAATCCACTGAAAATCTAGCCCTACTAGACCCTTATTTTTTGCTCTTGTCCTTTGTTGAAAAGAGCACATGTCCGCAGTATGGGCTGGAAGGGAGTGGGAGGTCCTCTTGTTCGATTGCAAGAAGAAAAGGATTTGCAGTAGTCACTAGAAGAATATCCTAGTTTAGCAAGCCAAAGTCCAGATTGCCACTGTATGTAAGTCTCCGATTCAGTCTTTGCGTCGTTTGCTTCAGGGCCGATTGTTGCATACCACCGGCAAATTCTCCAGTCAAAGTTGGGTCTCGCCCAGTTGCGCTAAAGTGTAATGCAAACTATAGGTTCCACACGACATGGAAGTGCAAGAAACATCCATAATGGATGGCTGGATGGCTGGATGGCTGGCTGGATGGGTGGATCTGTGGATCGGTGGATGGATAGCTAACTCAAGGGCTGCATTGCACTGCCGAAAAACAGAGCGCCCTGTGCCAGACATTGAGTAGCCAGTGTACTCACAAATAGTATCATTGTCTTAAACAAAACACAGAGAGGGAGAGAAGAAGAATGTATGTGTTTATGTATATATTTATTTATATATTTCCCCACCTGCCAGGTGAGGGTTGTTAGATTTTATGTCAGTTGCCTGCTCCTCTCCTCCTCTCCTCTCCTCCTCCTCCTGCTCAACCGCGACCCTCGACGCACAGTGTTCTCTGTCGGACCTCAACCACGACCATCCACGCCCAGTGTTCCCTGCCGGACCTCAACCACGACCATCCCCGCCCAGTGTTCCCTGCCGGACCTCAACCACGACCATCCACGCCCAGTGTTCCCTGCCGGACCTCAACCGCGAGTATCCACGCCAAGTGTTCCCTGCCGGACCTCATGTAGGAAGATATGGGACAAAGAATGTGCAGAAGAAAGTTAGAAAGAATGTCAGACAAGTATGTTATATATTACTTGCAAACTCGCGCGTGTGTGGTAGAGTGACCGGGGCAATGCCACTTCTTACTTTGCAGGTGGCAAAGTTTGAAGCAATCAGTTTGAACAGATGACAGAGTCACTGGGGTGGACAGAGACATTTCCACTTCTGTACCTTTGGAGCTGTTTGCAAAGACGCTTGAGACAGGCAACATCTTACAGCAAGTTACTACAAATTACTTGAAGTGATCTCATGCTGGATTGATGCTTGAGACAGTCAACATCACACAGGGTTTCTGTTGTGTATCACAGCTATGGTGGCATGGTGGATATGTGACATCGGAACATTTGTTGGAGCATTTGAGCCCTCATCTACTCGATCGCGGGCCAGAGGCAGGATGGACATCATCATAGAAGAATTCAGCAGGAGGAGGTTGTGTGATCAGTAGTGTCTTCTTGCGTGTTTTTGTTTGCTTGGCAGGTGATGGCAGAGGGTGACCAATCTTGCGAGCTTTTGACTTTGGTTCAGGTGGTCCACTGGCTTGTTTCAGTCATGTTTTTACAAACATGTTTGACAGGCGGAGTGCTGACATGTTTGGGCATGTTTGTTTGTTTGGCTCAGGTGGTCCACTGGCCTGTTTGGTCATGTTTAAGCAAACCTGTTGAGAGCTCTGGAGTTTACTTCACATGGCCCACTGACATGTTTATATCCTGTTTGACAGACTGACATGCACAATGACCTGCCAGGTGAAACAAATGATTGGGATAGTTAGTTGGGCAAAAGTCCCGTGACAAAAGCTTCAGACAAAAGTGGTGTCAACAAGCTGTTTTGAAATGTCATGGTGGGGATCACTCGAAGCAAAGTAATTATTTATTTATTTGTTTATTGATTTATTTATTTATTTACTGAACTAACTGAACCATATGAATGTATAGCTAAAACATCCGCGCGGAATTTAACTTGTGCATCCAAGGCACATCAAGACCATTCAAGGGTGTCGGCATCACCGCCAACATGCCTCACCGCGGGCATGCCACTAGGCACTGGCGTGCGAGCAAATCTGATGGAAACCACGGAGTTTGGGCACATGTCGCTGGACATGTTCGGCAAAACTTGACATTGAGATGTCACTGGCATGGAATTCAGGGAAGCCCACAAATAGATTCTGGCCATCTGGGGAGGCAAAATCCGTCAATGAAGATGATCATGAGACAGTGTTTCATATCTTTGGAAACAACGATGTGATGATTTTTACAAAACTCGTCAACATGCAAAACAACAGTGTCCATACCAGTCATCGGCAAAACCCCAGAACAAAACCGCTGCGACAATCGGTCATCCATCCCAATGGCCGGCAGGACAAATGATGATGGTGCAATGGCTCGGCACTTGTTTGCACCTCAACAGAATGTTTTTGATATGTGTAAAACATACCAAAAAGACGTGGTCCAAAAGAAGAATGCGATTCACAAATTCATCAAAACTGGCGTTTTTTGCTTCATTTCTCGGGCCCAAAAGAAGATCGGGAAATTGGCCAACCTGGCCACGTGGAAGCAACGTCTCGAAGTCGGATCTCCTGAATCGAAGACCAGTTTTCACCATGGTTCCTATCCCTCTGGTAAACTATGGAAAATCACCATGTTTAATGGGAAAATAACTATCCCATTGTGGTCAGACCACAGGGCGGCCTGAGGGAGGGCCCTTGGAACTGAGCCTAGATATAACAACGGCATTCATTAGATCTGGCTTCCCACAAGCAGTTCAAAGAACAATCTTGTGGTCAGACACAGCTCTCTTTTTCATGCCGCAAGAACTGAAGGCGTTGATTCTGAGACAACAAGTCTCGCCTGAAAATGAATTCCGCTTCAAACAAGTGTTGATCCTCCTGGCAGAGGTTTTCACATTTCTATATATATATATATACATCTCCTGGCAGAGATATTGCAAAGCAAAACTTCCCCTGGCAGGGATAGCTGGTTCCTTTGGAAATCAGCTTTCTCATCAGTTTTCTCATTTTGACATAGAAAACGTCACTTCTCCATGCTTCCAAACAACGAGTCGCCTTCAACCTTGTTGAGGGCTAACAAAATAGTAACGGGAAAGCAGCGCTGCAGTCTTTGAAGACATCTTGATGTTAGGGAGGTAGGATAAGCCATCGGATATATATATTCTGGCGACGCGACTTGATTGCCAGCGTCCTTTGGTCAGTGCAGCCTCCATAGAATTGGTAGATTGAAACAAGTGGGTTGCACCTCCCCTTCTAAGGCTATAAGGGCGAAACTCATGAGCGGACAAATCAAATGTGTCACACAAGAGACGAAATTGCTGCCGAAAGAAGGCAGGAGTACCAGACCAAAGTTTGATGCCAGTAGATGAAATCTGACGAAATTTAATAAGCTCTCGCACCGATTCAAGCGTGATCATGTCGTCAAAAGCCACTACCTCGTTGACATTGTCGCGTCTTCCAGACTTGGTTTGTTTCAATGCACAGACACCAGAATCCTTTCCCAACGAAAAATCATGAATGGTCAAATTCAGTAATTCTCCTGTACGCAAAAGACAAGTGAAACCAAGCAGCAACATAACCGTCATTTCTAAACGGCCATGCTCCATCTCATAAGCTGCCATCCCACGCATGAGTTGACGCGTGAGCGGCGGAGCTCTGCTGGGGACTTCGATGCGTCTCCATACTGTAAAAAGTTTCCATGCGTGGTGCAGTTGACGTCGTGTGGTTGGCTCAAAATATTGCAATGCACAAAGTCCGTCTCCAATAGTAAGTAGTGGCTCTCCAGATCGCCACATTTTCTTAATCCAAACGCAGACAAAATGATCAACCTGATCCAAAGAACGTGCCTTTTCAAAATACGGTGTCAATTTACGCAGAGCATGATAGTAACGGACTTTTGTTTTCTCAGTCAGGCCCGCATCTTCCAGGTATATATGACGTCGTTGACGTCTCTTTTCAGCGCGGGAAAATCTCCCAGCGAAAAGAATTACCACCATCAGTGGCGAGATCCCCAATCAGTGGGATTTTCGCTAGATTCGACATGGGCTAAAATCAATTGCAACCCATGGCCCAAAAGATGGGCCGCAATCGGCCTCAGCACTCTAGACAGTTGTAAGCTACTAGAGCGTCCCTTACTGACAACACTAATAGCAATATAAGAGTCACTGACTTGAAAGATGCGAGAGTCTGACAATCGAAACCTTGAAATCTGATGTTTAATTCCCAATAACAAAGCTTCCAGTTCCAGTGCATTGATATGGCTCTTTTGTTTCCACTTCACATTAAACTCATCCTTCCAAGCCCACCAAGATGCAGCAACGGATTGACGTGGGAAAACTTTTCCCTTCAAAATCTCCCCTGTGACAATGCGGATGTCTGACCCTGTATGGTTTGTTTTTCGGAGCAACATCCGATTGAATTGTTCCATCCCCAGTACTCCTAATCCATTATGTAAAGAAACCGATCCATAAACCAAACGTCGTGCAAGTTCTCCTGTACTTCGTATATGTGCTCTGAAACCTGGTGCCATGCCCAGTCTACGGGCCAAATGAGAATAGGAAAGCCGTGGTGTGAACCTGCGACAAAGTACAGCTGCAACAATAACAAACGAATAAATACTGAAACTATCCCCAAGATAGGAGTGCCTGCAGTCATCAAACTTTTGAGGTTGTTGCTTTATCTTTGAAGCTGCCCATGCCAGAGTAGTATGTCCATAGCCATACCCCAATAGGAGCTCCTTTTCTTCAGTGCTGAGCAGTCGCCATTGTGATTCCGAAGTGATCAAGAATTGACGCGAATATTGGTAGGGAGGATACCGGAACTGGTCCTCCCTCCATCTTTGAATTGTGGCAGGATCACATCGATTAAGACCCGCTGGTTTTGGGGGAGGCTTGTCCCTTGGTATACATTTCATGCAGGTTGGAAAACAAGCTCCACTAGCTTCTCCTTCCCAAATCCTATCAGGGGCCAACCACTGTGACGTCAGTGGATAGTCAGCATAAGCGAAGACATCCCTCCAGTAAGTGTTGGGGTGAACTTCAACCCCTTCAATTGAACCATCCAAATCCTCCGACACCCAGGCATATCTAGGACGTCGCATAGGCACCGCTTGCACACAATCCAACAGATAGGGAACACTTCCCAAAACTGACGAAATTTCTTGGCATGCCTCAGCATCCATTGACGCAACATTCTCCACCGCATGTTTGACCACAATTGAGCATCCAAACTCTTCCTGCAGAAGTTTCTTAATACGTGGAATTTCCCAGAATAAAATGCTATTGCGTCCCAATAAGTTAAGTCGTCCAAATTTTGCTGATGATAAATCAGTGCAAGGGAAGCCTCCCCACAAGTGTATCTCCTCAATTCGCAAGTATTTTAAGCTCCAAGATTTAACCAGCTCTCTGTTGACTTGCTTTACATCCAAAACAAATTCCGTGCCCGGCCATCTCCTGCTGGTAATCCTATTGGCGCCAGCATCACACTCAACTGCCACTCTGCCCATGGGCAAGACTCCAACGGAGTCATAGGCACGAAAACAGCCGCCTATCCCATTAAATAGGCTGATCAGCAAAATGGGGGAAGGAATACTCCCATCACCCATCTCGACCTTCTTGGCTCCCTGTAGGAAGTCAACCCCTTCTGCAGTCAACGTTTCGGCTGTTCCAACAGCCCCTCCTGTTTCGGAGGCATCGGTAGCAACGATCTTCTCCGCCACGCTAGCTCCAAGAAAACAGTGCCACAAGGGTGACAAACAGACCAGCATAAATAACTCTCGTCTAACACTCTGTTTCAAACGGTGTGTGATCTTTGCTTTGCCTCCAATAAATTTCCAAATGTCTTGCATCACTGCCATGCCCGGCCTGCGGAATTGAAGTTGAAAAACCCAACGACCCGCCATGATTTGCAGGTGCTTTCTATTCAGTATCCTCTGCATACTCAACCACAGTGTCCCCAAAATCAAACGCAGTGTTTTATCCATTCCAACTCCCAAGGTCTGCGTTTCTCCGCAGATCTCCGCTCCAAGTTCTGTAATTTGTTGAGCAGCAGAAACCCTTTTCTTTGCTGAAGTAATAACCCCCGCTTCCAACCAAGACTGCTCCGCCAAGTCATGACACCGAGATCCCCTGGTGGCACTACCATCCGGGACTAAACGCTCACCGGCACAAAAGTTGTCTAAATAAACATGAAACCAAGAAGAGTCAATGTCAACCGATTCTTTGATGATTTCATTCATCCATGCAGGTAAAGGTCTTCCACGACAGATCTGGTTGAGCTCATTAAGAGGGCTACGCTTCAGGAGGTTTTCGGAGATCTCTTGCATAATTCCAACGCTGTTCAACCAACCCATTGGTATGACGTTGCAAACTAAACAGAACTCAACTCCAGGGGCTAATCCAATAGTTTCACCAGAAACACAAACGTTGAAGGCTAAGTAGGGATGCCAAACCTTCGGCACCCTAAATAGATAGAATGCTGACGACATGTCAGACTGGAATAAACTCAGGGTTTCATTTCCATCCAAAACCACGCTTTGCCAACAAGTGATGGATGGAAGCGATTCACAGCCACCTTGAAGCTGCCACTGCGTACTGTTAGACCCCGTGAGGTTCATGATCAAACGAAGTACAGGTCTGCCATCTCCCAAAACAGAAGGTTTGCTTACCCCAAATAAACCGTTAAGGACCTTGGTGCCTCCCACCTGATAAACTTGGCTTAAGGGCAACCACGAACAAATGTTGCGCCTAACCAGTTCCCCTGCAATCTTGGGTTTGTCATGAGGATCAATGTGGACACGACCCGGCATGCGGGGCAGATCCACGTCAGCAACAGGCTTAAGCAAGCGTTCAGGGTTGAGCAAGAAGTCTCTAGTCCTAGGTCCAACCCAATCTAAAGCATCAATACATCCACCGTGACCTTCGGGGGGAAGTGAAGATTCAATTTGAGCCCAAGTTAAAACATGGCAAGATGTAATCTCCTCCCCTGAATAACCAACACGCTTGCTTCTCACATCTTTTTGCCAATCGGCCTCGCTCATCGGCTCCTGCTGGGCATCTTTCGCCAGCCGCCGAGTCACGGCCGCATGCAGGCTACGAGTGCATTGTCGCTCGGACGACGTCCAGCGCCCCGGCAATAAGTGGGCGCTGTGGCCCGCCAAGCGGTTCAAGCAGCACATCATCAAAAATAACCACGCCTGGTGGCTCCAAGCTTCAACATTTTCAGGAGCTATAGCGTCACCAAGTGGTAAACGGCTGTAGGTTGCAACAAATTCACTCAACTCTCCCTCACGGAGAGGAAAAGTCGCTCCCTTACCGCGAGCGCGCGACTGAGCTCTTGCGGCTGCTTTTTCAAAAAGACTGCCCCAAAGCTCCTGTGTGAAACTATCAGACAAGCGCCAACGTTCCTCAACTACCATCCACCAAGCCAAAACGCAACCTGTTTGCTTGTAACTGGTGCACGCACCAAGCGCTTCCCTCAGCGACACAGTAAGCTGTCCAACGTTAGCACTCATCCAATTTGGCGAGCGACGCTCGGCCCAAGCCAGCGCGCCATCCTTCACGTTCCTTTCTCGCCTGGCTTCTCCTTTGTCTTGTTCGTGTCGACGTTTGGCGCTCCTTGCGAAGCGTCCCACCAACCTTTGCCTTTGCCTCGCCCCTTTCCTCCTTTTACCTTTCCCTTTTGGGGCTGCTGCCATTCCTGCTCGTTCCAAAAACCTCCTCGACCTTTTCCTCCTTTCCCCTTCTGGGGGTTCCTCCAATTCCAACCCGTGTCCTAGCCCAGCGCCTTGGCCGTAAGCCTGGCATGCTTGCGGGCCTTCAACACAATGCTCTGACCCGCCGCCGATACCTCCTCCATGGGCAGAATCTCCAAGTGCCTGGCCGCCTGCCAACTGCCATCCAGAACTGACTGGTGAAGACTGATGAACCGTGACGCAAGGAGGTCTCCCACCAGTCCCAAGTCGCCACGGCGCAGACAATCCATGGTGTTGCTGAGATGGTGCATCTCTCGAATCTGCGTCATAGCCTGACCAAGCTGAGGACGGATGCAGATGTTGAAGTAACTGGCAAGTTTCACCCCTGTTGTGGGATCTGTCCCCTCCGGCGCAACCTCGACCTTTGCTGTCTGGTCCAGCTGCTGCCTGGCATGGGCCACAAGAAGTTGTAGCACACTTCCCGGTCGCCTCTTCGATTTCTTCCTCAAAGGCGCTTCCATCTGATCCCCAACTGACTCCTCCGACGACTCCTCCGAGTACGTCCCAGAGCCGTCGTCGCCACTCGAAGTCGGGCTGCTCCCTGAGGGGCTGTTGGGGTCTCCACCCCCTTCTCTCTTGATCTTCCTCTTTCTCCTCCTTCTTTTCTTCTTGCTCTCCTCCTTCGAGTGCTTGCCATCCTTCCCAGACTTGGTAAGGATCTGAACTAGCGCTTTGCCAGCAGCTGCCAACGAGTTCTTCTTGTGCGACTGTTTGCGTTTCAGCAATTGTAGTTGCGAAGTCTCTGCGGCCCGCTGCAACAGTTGTTTCTGCAAGCTGTTCGTAGTACCACCGCTTGTGGCCACCAGCTGCAAATTGTCGATCCCTTCTGTCTTCTCCTTGGCTGCTTTCTGTCTCTTCTTCTTTTTCTTCTTCTTGACTGCTGGCCCGGCTGAGCCCGGAACGTGTGGGGCGTTGGCCACGCGTTGAGGTCCTCTGCCTAGGGGCTGCATCAGGGTCCCGGTCGCTAGGTTCTCGTCCAGCACAGAGGCAGAATACCCGGGACTCGAAGACGCTATGGATATAGTATCGGCCTCCTCTATTTCCAGCGCAGCGTCTCCGTGGACAGCGCTCTCTCGAGGGGCCGCACTTCCTCCAGCGCCAAGCGACATCTTGTCCCTGGCAGCGCGGAGACGCCTTCTCAAGGCCTCTCTCCTCTCTTCTTCTTCCTCTTTGGCAGGCCTGCGCCTTTTCGGCTCTGTTGCGGGCTCCTTCAACTTGGTCTTGGGAGCTCCCCCAGCAACCTTTGGACTTGCTTTGGGCGCCTCTTTGCCTCGTCCTCGAGCTCGTTCTCCAATCACTGGTGGTTCCACCTCTTCTTGATCGTCGTCTGCTAACAGGCCTGCTTCCTTGAGCCACTTTTTCATCTGACCCCTGACATAGTGGGTCAAGTAGCTCCTGTGAAAGCCTTCTACACTGTAAGTGCGCAAGCGCTGCACGTGCAGCACTCCGTCGGAATCCAGAGTGCAGAAAGAATCGGTGCAAAGGTGAAGACGTCCTGGTTTTCTGTTGAAAAATCCTGAAAGCTCGCGAGTGACCTCGGGGCTGGAACAACCCAGGCTCTTCACGTCCAACAACCAGCTGGAATCGGCAGAGTTGAGGCGAGATTCCATGACTAGAAAACCTCCCCATACATCCACTTCTTCTCCAAGCACGCCATTTGGCAACAAGGCTTCGATTATGCATCCACGGCTTAACACCAGAGCATTCCAAGCCTCTGCATCTTCCAAGAGAAACTCGGCTCCATCCTCTATGGTCGGCATCGCTACCTTGATCTCTCAAGGGGCCTACGCCGGTCCTCCTCTCGAGGGGTGTCCCAGAAACCCGCAGGGGGTCGTTGACGCACCCTAATGTCTGGATCCTCCAACTGTCGGTAAAGCCCGCAGTGGCGCCTGCCACCTCGTCGACCTCGATCACCTCGGTTCTTCTTCTTTTCCTTCTTCTTGGTTCCTCTCTCGGAACGTTCTCTGTCAGGGCGCTCTGTGTCTTCTCGATCCCGTCGCTCACGGGGCGGACTGCGATGGTTCCTTGGCGGCTCCTTCGGCTCTGGAGGGCGCCTGGCCGGATCTGCTTTTGCAGTAACCCCCAAAGGAGCTTCAGATTCACCTGATTCAGCTGTTTCACTTTCAAGGTCCTCTTCGTCCTCGTGTGCGTCCTCCTCTTTAACACTCCTAGGTGGAGCTGGAGGAGGAGGTGGAAGCTCACGTGCAGGTGGCACAGAGCTGCGAGCAACCCCCGGCCTGGCAGAGCCTTTCCCCGAAGCAGCTGAGTGAGCAGCGCGGCTGTCGCCAGCGCTCTTGAGGCTCAACGCGAATGATCGCAGAGCCCTCACCTGCTGGGTGGTGGCTATCACAGCCTCCCCAGCCACAGACCTCAGCGCTGGGTTAGACCAAGCAGCACTGATCTCGTGACCAAGCTGTTCCCACGCTGAGCAGGAAAGGCACCAGGTATCGTTACCGTGGGGTTTGAGTTGACGGCACTTGGCGCAAAACATCCAACTACCACCTAACCCTTGGAACTGAGCCTAGATATAACAACGGCATTCATTAGATCTGGCTTCCCACAAGCAGTTCAAAGAATAATCTAGTAACTATGTAAACTGTAAACTGTCCCAGTTTACTATGGGAAATCACATGAAATCACCATGTTTTTGTTGGAAAACTCACTATTTTGATGGCCATTTTCAATAGCAAACTGTAACAAATTACCAGAGGGTAATCCCAATATTTGCTGATGAATTTCCGTTGCGAACCGTTCTGTTGCTAGGTCGCCAAAAAAGGGAAATTACTGAACACAAATCTGACAAATATTATCTGGTCTATCATCGGTCTATCTGCCAATCATCTGAAATATCTGTGGACATATTTTCTGACATATCCTGGCATTCTAGAGCCTTATCTGGCATTCTATCTGCCGCGTATTCTGATATGTATTTTGGCATTCTATCTGACTTTCCACGTCTAACATATCTTCCGACATCCTATCTAACATACCCTGACATTCTGCCTGACTTTTTATCTGACATTCTATCTGACATTCTACATCTGAAAGATCTGCTGACCTTCAATCTGACATATCTATTTAGACTTTTCACATTTTATCTGACATATCTATTTGACCTTTCTAAACTGATATATCCTGTATATTATCTGGCATAGTGCTTGGGTCGTCGCTGGACCCCACCACCACAGCGCCAGCTCTCCATGAAGTTCGCCACGGGCACCACCGAAGAGTGGGTGATGGTGCCTCGGTGTTTCGGTGTTTCGGCCATCGGAGGTCTCACCTTCGAAGATCTTTTTCTCAGCGCATTGGGATGGCGATTCCGGGATGGTTTGATCATGTTTGATAAGTTTCATATATATATACTGTATATGTTCATATGGACTTTGTCCAAGTTGCTGATGTTCTCAAAGTTCATCAAAGTTCACTTACTTTACCCACGGCCAACTCCGAGGAAAATGTGGAAGATTCTTGGAGGAAAATGTGGAAGATTATTGGGGCAGGAGATAAGTCGGGGTGTTGACTCGCCAAAAACCAAGGGATCAAAACGGGTTTGAAGCTACAAGGATCTGGATCTTGAGCAACGAACATGGGAGTCAAGCATGCGAATTGCAGGCAGCAGCAAGAACTGTGTTTTGGACCAACAATTACAGTACGAGTTTTGAAACAGCCAGGATCTGATTTTGCAAACAAGGCCGGATTTGAAGCAACAAGTTTTGGAATCTTGACCAAGAACTCTGGGAATTGTGTGTATCACAACTGTGGGGTGCCTTTTGACCCACAGAGGTATGAAAAAGATTGAAAAGGGGAGTAAGGCGTAAGCCCAGCACAGAACTCACAGTATCAGAATAACCATCGGCTTGACGACATATCTTTGGATATGGTGGCCACCTGAAGCTTGAAGACATCCACTTGAACTGGGGCAGATAACTGCAGCTTGTGTCCCCATCGTTTCATGGCAAGCCTGTTGTGGGTAACCCCACCTCTAGCCAGGATTGGCCGGGTTAGATTTCAGTCCATTGGGGTTGTCTAAAATGCCGGGAGAACCCCAAAAACCTCATGGTTGAGATCATTGTTGTTCCGATGGAAAATGGCCATGGATAGTTACCCCCTACTAGCCATCATTGACGTGGCCGAGGCAGCAACAGCAACATCCAGGTAAATCACCAAATCACATATTGGTGGTTCTATGTGGTTATCAATTCCCATTATATCCCCATTCAATCATATCCCATGTTATTCCCATTACATACAAAGCAAAATCATTTATCCAGATAAAATCCCATTGTACCCCCAAATCACATATTGATGAGTAAACCACCATGGTTTTCCGATGTCGGACAAACCCAGTGGTTCTCATACCGCACAACACCGAGACAAACCAACGCTGGGGCTGCTGCTGGGGCCGTTCGCCTCGCAGCAGCGGTGGCTTCACCAACCGTTTGCCATGGAAAATCCACATGTTTTCATGGGGAAATCATCCATGAAAAGGGCCCCCCTCTCCATAGCTACGTGTAAATCACCAGAGGGTAACAAAAGAATGGAATATGATTGGGATATCCTGGGCATTTGTGATGCGATTTCATGACAAAATGATACTCCAGGATCTGGCTGAAAATAGGCTATCCCCCAGATCGTTGCTGGGAAGTGTGATTTTTGTGGCAACGGATTTGCGGTGACCAAGCCACGATCGATGAAGATCTGAGGCCCAAGACGTACCCAGCAAAGACTGAGGGCGAACCTTGGTTCATCAAGGTCGCTAGGAGGTCACTTGGAGGACTTCAGGCAGGAACTAACCATTCGTTGATTCTCAGTTGATGAAATTGTTGATTTCCCATTTCACAAAGCCATATCCCGCTGGAAAGCTTGCCAGGGTCTAATCAGAGTCTGATCTTCTTTGCCAAACATCTCGGAGCGAGTTGTGAACTCTTCAAGAGCTCCAAACAAGAAAAACGGCCACAGTTGATCACAGTTGTCCTTTTTGGAAGGAGAACCCCAAATTCTTGAACCATTTGGAGGCCTAGCATTTCTGGACAGCTTTTGTGTCCTTCATGAAGCGACAGCCTCTCCTTTTTTTGGCCTCCAGGCCCATAGTAGCAGGGCCCACTAAAACCACGTCAGAGATATGTGCCTGGGAGCTTCAGAATGTCAACCCCCTGTCGTAAAGAGAACATATCCATAAAAACGTCATCTTCCGCTCATCTATCAGAGTACGTACAGCGGATCCCCTCTCCTTTGGGTTATATGTGTAGTTCATGATACATCGATACATCTCCGGGGGAGGGTCACAGTCACAGGAATATTTTGAATATATGGAGTAATATGGAGTAATGGTTTTGTCTGAAAAGAACCCCAAATCCCATGTTTTATCGTCTTTGTTCCTATGAAATTGCCATTGTATGGATATACCGTACCATGTATACCCCATATTCAGACACACCCATTTGGCACCATGGGTGGGAACCATTGCCTGCCCCTCAAGCACACAGTTCTTTTTCCTTTCTTGCTGTTCTTGCTTGACATTGAAATACTTGAAATACGAAACTAGGTGTGGGATTGCGCTGCTGGCATTGTGATACTGGCATTCATGTCCAAAAAAATCATCCCGTGGCCTTGGTCTGTGGAGGTCCATGGACAGTAAACGACGAGAGTCATCAGTTGATCTATCAGAAAATTCAGGATTTGAAGAGAAATATGGCCACGCCGACAATCAGAGAAAAACACTAACATGAGATGATGACTTGGCATCTGTTGAATGCAGTCATAGATTTGTTCGGTCAGCACACCTGGGTTCCGACCCTTATTTCTCAGGTGATCTCCTTATGTAAAGCTACAACCCAGAGCGATTCCTGACCGAAAGCTTTCCCTCGGTTGAGCTGAGTCTCTTTTCTTCAACTGGTTTTAGTAGTCACTTAAATTACACGGTTCTGGGGATTAGTCGGTCCAATCCAAGTACTGTCTATGTATGTGTCTTTGTAACAAGTAGAATGAACAAACCCACCCGCAGCGAAGGTGCCGAGGCGTTTTTTGTTGGCACGCAGGGTGGGGCTAAGTTGCCAAACTTGGCCCCAGCATAGGCCTAGGATGGCCCAACATGCCACAACATAGGCCCAACATCGGCATGTTGGGCCCAACATACTCCCAACATGTGCCCTACAAAGGCCCAACATAATTTGTGTGGTTGGTATTGCTGTTGTGTTTTTGGTATGTGCTTGCTTCGGTCTGTTTGTCAACTGGAAACTATCTTGAACGGTTTTATACGGCTTTCCTGAAAGATACCAACAGAAGAACTTACGCCTGAGTCACTTTTTAAGAATTAAGAAAATAGGCACTTCAGTGTTCATTTTGAAAGAAAGGGGATTGGTGTTGCGAGGGTCCAGCGCATTTTCAAGTTTCCAGTCAGGCTGCCCCCTTCCGGATTTCGGCAAACTTGACTGAAACGGTAAAGTTTCAACTCTCTGGGTAGACCATGGTAGACCAGGTGAGCAAACTTCAGGATGGTGAACATGGTGAACATGTTGAACGTCAATTACGTCATCTTGCTTCCCTACATGTGAATAATTTTGAACATGTGTGTTTGCTTTGACATTCCAAAGAGATCCTGCGAAAGGAAATCAATATACAGTAATGTCTTTGAGGCCTAAGGCATACCAAGGGCACTCAACTACACGTGCAACACATGAGCTTCTCCAAAAACGTGGGATTACCGGCCTATGTCGCGTAACATTGCTTGCGTTAGCCTTACGCTATGCTTAGGCGACCACAATTTTGCCTTACGCGGCAAGCATGTACATAAAAAGACTCACGCGAAGCTTACGCTCACAGGTTGACTTAAACCGCATAGGAACTGCTTACGCCAGAAGGCATTATAATGCTTACAATGGTTATGCAAAAGTGGCTTACGCTACCTTACGAAACCCAGGGTTTTGCTTACGCGATCCAGTCATATGACACAACTCTTCTTAAAGTGTATTCAGGGGGATTCTGACGATGCTCACATATGTGCTGCTTCGATCCACTTGTGGAAAAAGTGTTCCACCCCTGTGCCTTTGTCCAATTTGTATATTCGAATAGGAATATCTAGAAAACCTACGCATTTTTCTCTTTTGAGGAAAAATAATAAGCTTGGCCAGAAACATAGTAAATGGTCAGCCTGAAATCTGTGAGTCAATTAAAGAACGCCAAAAAACCAGATCGTTTTCTAGTCTTCTAAAAGAGACTCAGGAGAGTGAAACTCTGCCTCCAACTGTGCTGCGCTTCACACAGTTCCAGACTGACAGTCGATTGGCGATTGGAGTGGTCAAATGTCAAAGCCTCCAACTGTGCTGCGCTTCACACAGTTCCAGATTGACAGTCGATCGCCGCTTGGAGTGGTCAAATGTCAAAGCCTGGTTTGACAGATTGGGCTGCGTGCTGTGGTCCACATTCCTTGGAAGTCTTGCGAAGTACAGTACTAATTAAAAAAATGAATGGATTCATGTTTGTAAAAAATAC